CCATAGGTGTTGGACGGCATTTGTGCGTACAAAATGGTCTATTCGATAAACTGCTGCAGGCGGTATCGCAGAGAGGTCCCTCATCAGCGCCCGTATCACAGTCATCGAAATTATTACACACACGCGACATTTCCACACACTGTCCATCTTTGCAGTCGAACATGTTCGGTCCGCAAGGCCGTTCATTCAGCTGGGTTGTCATCATACCGACCGTGGTTGAATTTTCGTAATGCTCACAGTTCAGTTCATCAGAACCGTCAGCGCAATCCTTGTCGCGATCACACCGAAACTCCATGCGTATACATTCTTTAGTAGACTTGCACTGAAACTCGTAGATGCTACACACCGTGCCACACTTTTCCTCGTCCTCGCCGCGCGGACACTCTGTGGTGCTATTACAGCGTGCGCCCAACTCCAGACATATGCTAACATCACTAGGACACCGATACATTGGGTTTTCGGCTGAGCCACAGGTCAGATTTCTTTGTTTTCCTGTAGTGAAGTCGCAATTCAGCTCGTCCGAGTAGTCACCGCAGTCATTGTGTCCATCACAGACCAGACGGCGGTCAATGCACTGACCAAGCATACATTTGTGCATGTCGGTTGGGCATTCCTTAAGGCCTAAAGTGTTGAAAAAAAGAGGATGATGTGAGTTCTTGAAACTAGTTCAGCAGAAAAGAATGGTGAGATCACTACAGCTCCGCAGGTTCGATTACTCCAAGCTGTTCCGTTATCACAGAACGAATACCCAGGAAATAAGTACCTGCGGCACCTCCGTGATCGGTCTTCTTCTTGATCAAAGAATTTTACGCCCCACAATTTTTTTTTTCCAAACCTAGTGGTATTACGTGCCGTACCCCATTCTTACCGCATTTTTCGTGTTCGTCCGAGGCATCCGTGCAATCCAATTTTCCATCGCATTCCCAGCTCTGTGCGATGCAAGTACCTGTGTTGCACTGGAACATGTCCGATGCACAAACAGGCATATCCGCCGTCTGCTGATCATGATTCGATTTACAATGGGCTTCATCCGAGCGATCACCGCAATCATCTACGCCATCACACAAGACACTCAAATCCACACAGTTGCCATTGTCGCAGGCATGTTGATGCATGTGGCAGCGCTTATCCTTATCTAAAATATTGAATACTTAGTTCGTTCTAAAGGCTGTTGTAGTATATTTCAAAAACAACCAACCAAATTTCTCGCAGTGTGTCTCATCCGAGCCATCGCGACAATTCTTATTTTCATCGCAGCGCTGCTCCATTTTTACGCACTGTGTTGCATCGTGACACGCATACTCGCCAATAGCACACACAACTTTGTGCAGCTTGACGCTAGCCGGATCGCAACCCAACTCATCCGAACCATCGGGGCAGTCTCTGCGACCATTGCAGCGTCGCGATTGTGTCAGACACTCACCTGAACGGCAACGAAACTCACAGTCTATCGCTTCGATGCAAGTACTATTGGTCATATCACGAAAGACTAGACCCGCAGGGCATAAACAGGCGCTGACTGATTTTGTAACCGTCACACAAACATGCGAACAACCACCATTTCCATGCTGGCAGGGATGATCTTCGGTGGAGACTGGCTGGCTGGCCAATAGTGGAATGCGTGCGGGTAAAGCGTGTGCGAACGCTGGCTGCGCGACTTGTATTTCTACGCGCTTCACTGTGCCCAAATTGTTCTTGTGCGTCCAGTGAATGGCGGAGGAACGAAGTTGCGTCCAGAAGATATCGTCTTCGACCAGTGCCAGTGAGTACGGCCGCTTAAGGCGTGTACGGAAAGTGAAATCGTGTAGATTACGATAGTCGGTGAAGGAGATGCGGTCAAGTTCGCTATCGGACCAGTAAAGAGTTTTCATCTCGAAGTCAGTGACAAATCGGATGTCGTCATCGCCGAGCTCGTCCTCAAAAGCGTGCGAGTGTGGTCCGCGGCCGCTAAGTGGTAGCTGGTCTATGTGGACGTACTTGCGTGTACGTAGCGCCACAAACATTACACTTGCGGGTGAGATAATTTTTATTAAACGATGCTTTGAATAGTCAAGTGAATAGCGGTAAGGAACTTACCCATCTTCTGGTATCACAGCGAGCGCTATTGGCACCTCCATCCCAGCGAAGAAGTTGACCAAAGCGCGTTGTCGCGTCTGCATGGAGTACACCTCCACCACATGCCGTTCCGCATCGGTCCAGTAAACATTGTGCGCTAGGTGATCTGTGAACGGTAGTATTGTGTATTTATGAACAGTTTTCGAAACACAAACGAATTTAAAATTTACCAAATGCGATGGCCGTTATATTGCCGATGTTCTCGCGTGCCAACACCGATATGTTGTTGGTCAGCATATCGTACTGAAAGATCGTGCGTTGCACATTATCGGCAATGATCACCTTTTCATTTACATTATTGTAAGCCATTTCGCTGATGTAAAGCGGCAGCTGATGCATCTCCAGGATGGTATGCCGCCCAAACTTTGTGTGCTCCATCTCGAGCAGTGAATTCTTTAAAGCAATGAAGAGTCGCTGTTTTTTGTGTGTCTTCACGCAACGCAAACGATTGGCGTCCAGCTGCATGCCATCAGGACAAGCGCAAGTGGAACTATTGTTTTCGGTGAGCAAACAAAGGTGTGAACAACGCATNGGTGATCTGTGAACGGTAGTATTGTGTATTTATGAACAGTTTTCGAAACACAAACGAATTTAAAATTTACCAAATGCGATGGCCGTTATATTGCCGATGTTCTCGCGTGCCAACACCGATATGTTGTTGGTCAGCATATCGTACTGAAAGATCGTGCGTTGCACATTATCGGCAATGATCACCTTTTCATTTACATTATTGTAAGCCATTTCGCTGATGTAAAGCGGCAGCTGATGCATCTCCAGGATGGTATGCCGCCCAAACTTTGTGTGCTCCATCTCGAGCAGTGAATTCTTTAAAGCAATGAAGAGTCGCTGTTTTTTGTGTGTCTTCACGCAACGCGAACGATTGGCGTCCAGCTGCATGCCATCAGGACAAGCGCAAGTGGAACTATTGTTTTCGGTGAGCAAACAAAGGTGTGAACAACGCATGCGCATGCACGCGTGATTAGTCTTAGGCTGCTTAGCGGAGTGATAGATATGCACAGCGTAGATGGTGCGATCTTTAGTGACTACTTGATGGCCCTTCCCCGTGAATTTATTGCACTTATGTACACTCTTTGTGCCCCAATCGGACCAGTAGATGTTATCTTCAAAGATGGCTAAGCCGTAGGGATGTTTCATTATACCGTCGAGTATGCGACGTCGATCAGTGCCATCGGGTCGTATGCTTTCCATGGTCGCCAACTTGGCATCAACCCAATAGATGCGGTCATTGTGCATATCCAAGGCAATACCATTAGGCCAGTGTATGTCGTCGGTAACCAATGGCAACGAGTTTCTGCCATCCATAGATGCCCGCGCAATCATCGGTTTCACGCCCCAATCCGTCCAGAACATTTGACCACGCTGCGGCCAGAGCGCAACGCCACGCGGCTGATGTACATCCATAGTGACGAGCACAGTGCAATAGAGGCCATCATTGGAGCAAACAGCGATGTGGTGCAGGGTATTGTCCGAGAAGTAGATGTTGCCTGGAAAGTGTTAGGACAGCACGGGAATAAAGTGAGCAAGAAATGTGAGTAAGAAAAGCGAGAGAGGGAAAGAGAAAGAAAGTGAACGAACGAGCGGTTAGATCAGCTACGACCAAAACATAGCCCGTTGGATAAGCTTTGTAAAGATTTCTATAGATTCCTTATGGACGCTTACTGTAAATAAGGTACTTTCTGC